AATTACATTGAATCTGTAGATTGCTTTAGGCAGGATGGCCATTTTAACGATATTAATTCTTCCTAGCCAAGAGCATGGGATGAATTGACATTTATTAGTGTCCTCTTTAATTTCTCTTCAGAGCATCTTGTAGTTTTAAGGGTATATGTCTTTCACTTCCTTGGTTAGGTTTATTCCTAGTTATTTTATTCTTTTTGATGGAATTGTTTTCCTGATTTCTCTTTCTGCTAGTTCATCATTAGTGTATAGGAATACAACAGATTTCTGTGTATTAATTTTGTATCCTGCAACTTTGCTGAATTCAGATATTAGTTCTGGTAGTTTTGGAGTGGATTCTTTAGGGTTTGTTATGTACAATATCACGTCATCTGCAAACAGTGACAGTTTGACTTCTTCCTTACCAATCTGGATGCCTTTTATATCTTTGTGTTGTCTGACTGCTGTGGCTGGGACCTCCAGTACTATGTTGAATAAAAGCAGGGAGAGTGGGCATCCTTGTCTTGTTCCCGATCTTAGGGGAACAGCCTTCCACTTCTTGCTGTTAAGTATAATGTTGGCTGTGGGTTTGTTGTATATGGCCTTTATTATGTTGAGGTACTTGCCCTCTAAAACCATTTTGTTGAGAGTTTTTATCATGAATGGATGTTGAATTTTGTCGAATGCTTTTTCAGCATCTTTGGAGATGATCATGTGGTTTTTGTCCTTCTTTTTGTTGGTGTGGTGGATGATGTTGATGGATTTTCGAATGTTGTACCATCCTTGCATCCGTGAGATGAATCCCACTTAATCATGGTGTATGATCCTCTTGATGTATTTTTTAATTCGATTTGCTAATATTTTGTTGAGTATTTTTGCATCTATGTTCTTCAGGGATATTGGTCTGTAGTTTTCTTTTTTGTGGTGTCTTTGCCTGGTTTTGGTATTAGTGTGATGCTGGCTAATTGTAGTTCTTATTTGTCATCTTACAGATGCTGCGCCTGCTCCCTCAGAAAAAAGCTCATCTCTGCAGACGAACATGAGCTTGGCCGAGGAAGGAGACAGAAGCATTACAAACACTGCAACAGAAAAGCCCTTGCAGGTGCCTCTAGAAGAGCAGTCAGCTGCAAGCAGCTTTGAAACACTGACAACTTTAATGGCCCTTTGGCCATCAAGTGAAAAAGAGTTTATCAGCCCTGATTTGAGCCTATCAAAGTCAGATTCTAATTCTACTTTCTGTAACCTGCCCTCTGTAGAGACACTCTATGTCTCTCCCTCGTTCAAACCATTTGACTCAGTGGAGAAGCTCACCATCAGTCAGGACCCTCAGAAGTCAACACAATCCAGCATCTTCCAGATGGAGAACAAACACCTCAAGGCCTCAGCCACACGGGGTGAGTGAATAAAACAAACAAACAAAACCACACAAACATAAAGCCTCTTTTGAAGCCACCTTCTTTCACTTTTCTCCGCTTTCTTTCTCTTTTTGGTTCCCTCCTTTCCCTCCCCCATCAGATGTTATTAAAATGTATGTGCCATTAGAGGTGCTTCTCAGGTGGCAACATAACCCTTTCATTAAATGGCTACTAGGCAGCTCATCATTGTGGTTATGAGCACTTGACTGAAGCACAAGTTCTGAGCAAACCTGTTGCAGAACAAATTAGACCTAGCATTAAACAAGAGCTTCCTGCTAGACATTAGATTACTTATTAAGAGACTATAAAAAAGACTGGTTATTGTGTATATTGATGTGTGTGTGTGTGTGTGTCCTTTTTTAAAAGGGCCGTGTACTGATTGCAAAAAAAGGCATGGAACAGTTCTCCTTTTCCTGTCCTATACAACACCAGGGGGCTCACAGGACTGCTTAGACTTGATGAAGGATAAAGCCAGTTGAGATGCCAAGTTGTTGGATGTCTTGCATTTCATAATCATGCTTTCTTCTTTAAGTTAGTAAAAGAATAATATGTTTGCTCATGCATTTTTCAAAGACTAAGTAGTTTTATCAGTTCTTATATACAATAATGCTTACCAGTTGCCTCACACTCAGTTTGAAAGTACCATATAAATACAAACAATGGAAACCAAAGTGTTGATGGTAAAGAAATTTACCTTGGTGCTAGTAAGGTCAGTAATAGAAGATCCTCCTTGCTGCCCTTACCTGAACTTTTTGGAACTGAATGACCTAAAAATAAAGCTATTAGAAGCTAATTTGAAGTCAATGAAAAGCAACGAAAGTAGAAAACTCATGATGGGTCAAGGTCCTAGGGAAAAGGACTGTGGTATTGTGATATAATAAGAAATACATGATTTGATCTTCCTCCCTTGTTCCTGGCACCAAGCTCCTAAAACCCTTACAATTGTCCTTCATGGTAAACCCTCCAACCAGACCTGCCAGACGTGATGATGAGGTGACTCTCGGAGGGTGGGGCTTGTTGCCGGAACCATCAAACAGGTGATAAGAGCCTCTGAGTTTCCAGCCCCACCCCTGACCTCTGGGGAGGGGAGAGGGGCTGGAGGTTGAGTTAATTCTCAAACTTGGTCGATCATGCCTACAAAATGGAACCTCCATAAAAACCCTAAACAATAAAGTTTAGAGAGCTTCCGCGCTGGTGAACACATGAAGGTTCTGGAAGGATGGCACGCCTAGAGAAGGCAAGACGCTCTGTGCCCATTTCCCATACCTTGCCCTGTGCATCTCTTCCCTTTGGCTCTTCCTGAGTTGTATCCTATGGAGTGACTGGTAATAGTAAGCAAAGCACTTCCTTGGGTTCTGTGAGCCATTCTTTTGAACTATTGAACCCATGGAAGAGACATGGGATCCCTCGACTTATAACTGGCAGATCAGAAATACAGGAGGCCTGGACTTGTCATTGGCATCCAAAGTTGGGGGGCAGTCTTGAGGGATTGAGCCCTTGATCTCTGGGGTCTGCACTGAGTCCAGTAGTTAGTGTCAGAATTGAGTTAAATTGTAGGACACATGATTGGTGTCCACAGAGAACTGGAGAAATTCTTGGTGTGGGCAACCTGCACATCTGGGGTCAGAAGTGCTATGAGTAGAGCAGGAAACTAGTTTACTTTAAGTTGGCCCCATATTCACCTCAGTTGCCCACTTGGGTCATTCACTGGATCATAGAAGCAAAGGCCTGGGCTTTCTACAGTCTCATTGAGCTTGGGAGATGGGGAACTCAGGAGAGTTTGGGGCTTCCAAGGTGGCAGGACCTCAAGGGGTTCATATTCCAGAGGGGAGGGAATCACAGAGATGAAAATCCAAAAATCTTTGTGTAATTTTTTCCTGAAACATCTGCCCACTGCAAAGCTGCACCTGTTCTGGGTGCGATGCCAAGAAAGGAAACAGGAAGCAGCTTCTAACGGGCCAGTGAGCTGAGCACAGATTCTGATAAGCTTATGGTGCTAGGAGACAGATGGAGTTCAGAATATGCATACCGTAGGGGCTCTGGTAAATACCCCAGGCTTCAGCTGGGACCTCTGACAGGCTGCACCCTGAGCATCAGAACCACACTCTAGGGGTAAGCACAAACCAGAGACAGAAGAACCCTCCCAGCTGCTGAGAGCCCGCTTCAGCTAGAGCACATGGTGGCCGTGTAGTCCCTGTGTCTTCTAGAAGTCAATGAAATCCTTTCTTAAGAGCTGCTGTCATTTTTCAAGCAAAATTTTTGGCACTCAACAAAAAATGACCAGGCATACAGAAAACGGACAAATGGCCAGAAATACTGGAGAAAGACACAATAGAAATAGACCCCAGATAATCTACATACTGAAGTTAAAAGACAGGTACTTTAAAATGATTATGATTAATACAATCAAGAAAACAGGGAGATGGAGAATTTCATCAGAATACTAGTATCTATTTTTAAAAGTACCAAATGAAAATTCCAGAGCTGAAAAATATAGTACCTGAAAGTAAGGCCCTGAGGGTGCTGTTCAGCCCACCTGGCCTGAGGTATCAAAAGAGAGAGCTCAGTCACGGCAGAGGGGCTAGAAGTCATGAGGGAAGCCCTGAAAGGGAGGGACTCAGAAGGGGAGACCCCACATTCTGTTTATAAACTCTGCCCAAATCCTCACCTGACTATACATGGAGGGGAAGGCCCCAGGAGTCTGGGCGGTGGGGGGAAGATGAACACTGGAAATTATAAATATGTGTGTAAATATAAAATATATATTTCATTTTTATTCTAATTTAAAAATACATATGACTGTTTAAAGCAAAAATTTTAATACTGTATTTTGGGTTTTAGAACATATGTAAATGTAACATATTTTACAGCACGGCACAAAGAATGGCTGAAATCCATAGTCCCTGGTAGCACGGGTTCTGGAGTCTGACTGCCTGGGCTCATCGTCCCAGCCCAGCCACTAGCACAACCAGGGGAAATGGACTAGAATCCAGGACAGAAGGCCGCCTCATCCTGAGGGCCTGTAAGGAAGGAGCAGACAGGATATGTCACATGTGAGGGAAGCTTTTTGCAGTTTTTAATAATGAAGAGGCACTGAGCCTTCACGTGACACACACTGTCATGGCCTCAGGTCTCCTGCCCTGACTGAGCGGTTGGGAGTGGCATAAGGATTGTCAAGAGACTGGTAAAGATTTGGAATAGCCACTCTAAAGAATGGAAGAAGGGGCTGCTAAGACAGTGTTGTGGTAAAGCAGCAGTAATTTGTAGGGGTCCTGATTTGGGGGGTCCTATGTGCTTCTTCAATAGTGCTGAGCAGGCGGGGGATAGGAATGAAAAAGGCAGATATTTAAATTGAAATAGGGTTAGGACAGAAATTGGCAAACCACAGCTTCTGGCCAAATCTGGCCCACTGCCTATTTGTAAACAAAGTTTTATTGGAACACAACCAGTAATTGGTTTACATACTGTCTTTGGCTGCTTTTGTGCCACAACAGCAGAGCTGAGTAGTTGCAACAGACTGTATGTCCCACAAAGCCTAAAATATTTACTATCTGACCCCTTACAGAAAATGTTTGCTGACCCCTGCTTTAGGAATTAGTAGCAGGGAAAGCAGAAAACCTGGCAGCAAGGGGGTAGCAAGAAAATGTTTTCAGTGGTGGATAATGGGATTCTAGACTGGACAAGAAAAGAGCCAGGGCCAGATGAGCATTGATAGAATGAGAGAAAATAACAGGATCGTTGGGTCTTTTGTCTCAGTGAGGTCAAAATGTAGATGCATTAAAAGGAAGGGGACTGCAAGAAGTCCTAGAGAAAGAAAGTAATCTTGGAAAACGAGATTTCAGAGGTAGGGCAGTTGAGAGAGAAGACCTGCTCTAGGGAGCACCCAGAGGAATGGCTGCAGGTTATTGTGGTTGAGGAATTCAAGAAACAATAAGGCTAGGATGGATGGCTAGTCTCCATGGACGCTGGATGATGGAGGACAGAGAAGACAGCATCTAATTTTTGTTTTTTT